AATCTTCAAAAAAGAAAAGAATTTTCTGAAGAGACATGGTCCAAACTCCAAAGGGTTCACAAAGTACATGCATAGCAAAGGTTAAATGTCAAAAGCCGATTAAGTTACATCCAAGAGTTAAAAAAAATTAAAACAAAACTTCTTGAAGCTCAAAACCCTTCTCTGAAATGTTGACACCTGAAGCAACAATAGAGGCTACACTTAACAACCACAAATTTATTTACAATAGAGAATAACATGCGCCAAGTGTGAGAGAAACAAGATCACAAAAATACTCCAACCCCAGAAGAAAAAGCATGATTATTAGAGGGTCAAAGCTAAAATTACCTTGTCTCTCCTACCATTCTTTCTCACTCTCACTTCCACAGTCCAACCTGGTGGAAGTTGGTCATCGGAGTCCGGCTTCTCCATTCTTCTAATGATTATGGGTGGTGGCCGGAAAATAGAAAATGCCTAAGATTTTAGAGTGTGTTTCTTTCTCTTTTGGTGAGATGAGTGCCGCTACCTATAAGCACTAGACACTAGCTTAGTACCTTCCACCGAATGACAAAATAAATTGCATGACCACGTGGTGCAAATGCAAAAAATAGTTCAAAGCCTTTTCTCTTTTTTTCTTTCAATTAGTTATCTTTCTTTCATTTTTTTTTTTACATCTATGAAAGAATATCATTATTAAGAAAGAGCTTTAAAACATATTTAGCTCATGTTCTTAAACATAAGAGTTTTTTTATCATGGTCAGATTTATAGAGTGAATTGTCTTCCAGAAATTACCTTTTTATCCATGTTATTGTTTTGTTTATCAATAATCTGATAGAATAAACAATATAAAAAATACAAAGTATTTAATAATAGTCAATTAATAGTCAATACTCAAAATGGTAACAATAAAGAACATAAATATAAGTACCAAAAAAACATGAAAACAAAGATGTGTGTGAAAAGAGAAAGATATAGAGAGAGTCTAGTATCTAGATGACCTTATATGGCTACTGTGATTGATTAATCTAAAAAGTAGAGTTAAGTCCAACTAAGTGTAAAAGATAGACAAAATAAACCTTTTAACTAAAAAATATAGATTTAAACCCTTTCTTAGTCCTCGTTCTTTTATGAAAATCTCAGTTCGGTTTCATTTTTTTCATCGTCTTAATTGGGTTATACTTTTTGTAAAAAGAACACATTTTACCCTAACCGTTTAACTGGTCTCAAACGACGTTAAATTAAGGCCACGTGGTGCAAAGAGAATGTGTTGATGTGTGTTGTGACATTATTTAAACGATTAGGATAATGTCACATCACATATCAACACATTTTCTCTGCACCACGTGGTCTTAATTTAACGCCGTCTGAGAAATATTTTCATTTTTACAAAAAATATGACCCAATTAAGACAAATGAAAAAATGAGGACCGAACTGAGATTTTCATACAAAAATGAAGGACCAAGGAAGGGTTTAAACCAAAAATATAAAATCAAATTTAATACTTTTACAGTTTTTTTCTATGTTTGTCCTAATCTATATAAAAAGTTTTACATTATATATATAAAAGATGTTTCTATTTTGTCTAAACTTATGGTAAAGATAATAAATTATATTTTTTAATTAATTTTAACTACTATTTAATTATAACTTCTTGAAAAAGATATATCTTCCTTGAAAAACCAGTATGATGAAAAACATAAACTCTTAAATTAAATTAAAAAAAAGAGTTTATACTTGAATGATTAATCTTTCTCTCTCAATTTTATTATACCCAAGGGACATGTTGAATGTGTTTGTTATTTATATATGGACATGTGTTGCATTGGGTTGCACATCTTTAAAACTAAAGTTTTCTAATACTTATGGATATTTTTTTTTCTTTATATATTTCTATGTAACTTTAAATTATTTCCAAAACAAACCGACCTGTTTAATTTGAAATTTTTGTAAAATTTTTATGAAAACAATTGTATTAAATATAATTTTTTTAATGTAGGAAGATACATATTTTTAATCTTATTTTATTTTATAGGATTATGAATTATGGAGGGTTGTTCTTCTGACTTTTTGTGTCTTTGTACTGGAATTTTCTGTATAAATAATTATTTAAATTTTGTGCTTTATTTTATAAAATTATGAAGGGGTGTTTCTAACCTTTTGTGTCTGCTCTTCCTTTACACGACTTAAGATCTCGTCTTATTCTTATTTTTACTTTTCTTTTTTGTTTTAATGGTGGAAATTTGAAACTTGTGCCAAATTTTCTTCTTCACTTTCTTCCTTTTGTACTTTACTGAATAGTACTTGTTTGAACAAAATTCACTAAGTTGAGTTAAAATACTCATTTGTCCCCTTGGTTCCACTTGTGTTTGCCTCAATTCCGAAGTCTCAATCAGTAAGTACTTTTTGACAATTCTACTCTTGGGTTTCTGCAATTTTATTTTATATTATATTTTTTTAAGATATAAAAAAATACAGTATAGAAAGTTTATCCTATGGAAAAGTAAGAGATGACTCGAGACATACCTCATAAATGCAGAGCAAACCCTTTTTAAAATTCTTAGTAATCCACATATTGATTATTAAATTATTAACTTTATAAGTTTTTTCAGGTGTTATGTAATAAGTTGGCACTCATTTTTAGTTTTTACTAAGAATAATGATTAAATTTATAATTTATTAAAAATAATAAAAATATTTTTGAGTCTATAATGAAAAATGTATATTTAAGTTGTAAATTCATATTTTGTAAACTTTTGTATCTTCACTCTTGAAAATAAAGAATAATCACAAAACTGATATGAAAGATAAGTGATACTAAATATGTATTAAAAATGGCTACAAAATTGACTTGATTGACTTAACAATTTGAATAGTAAATATGAGTCATCATTAATTAATGAAAAAATCATCTTAATATTGATATTATAAGATGCATTTATAAACAATCATTCATCTCAAAAAAGTAAGTATATTGAGATTTGAAAGTTTTAATAATCATGTGTTTGAGAGAAGAGTATGGGCTTTTTATTGAACAAATATGACTTGTATGTGATCTAAAGTTTTTTTATTTTTTACTTACAAGAAATTAAAGTCTTATTCCATACGTAATTTAAATGTTGTCTAATAACTCAATTTACACATCTAATTACCATTACATTAATCGATTAAAAATTATTAATTTCTCAAATTCTAAATATTTTTCTTTCTAAGGAAAGACTCGACTCTTCCATTGAAACGAATCATAAACTAAGTTTCTTACTTAACATAATTAAAAAATTATATTTTAATTTAATTGCATGTTTTCTTTGAAGTGACACTTTACGTATAAAGGAAGTGTTTGAAAAATGACTTTGTTAATAGTAAAATTGTTAAATTATTGATCATGTAATTTAACAAATTTAACTATCTTCTAAATATATTTGAAGATTTCATGAAGCCAAATATTTAGTGAATGTGTGAATAATTTGTATTGAGCTTGTATTGACTAAGATGAGTTCTTAATACCTTGATTTCATTTAGTATATAATTTTGACTTTGTCGTCATTTAATAATTTTGGTTTAATCGATTGAAGAATCCATTAAAATCACTTTTTAAAACAACAATTTAGTTTATTGAAACTTTTAATTTTTATTTTGACAGATTAAAATAGTATAATGAATTGCAATAACACATTGGATTTTCATAAATATTTCTAAAAACAGAACATGAAGAAGTGTGTAATTCATTTTGGGATCATTTGAATATTGATTTCTTAGGAGAGAATCAATGTTGAAAAAATTACTTTGATTTTGGAGCTTTCTTTAGGTAAAGTGTAGTTGAACATCTATATGTATATGTTGGATGGAGTGATCACTAAATTTTTTATGTATTTCTCTTTTTTATATTGCATAAGTATATTGTATATTGATATTTCTTGATTTGATATTTAAATCTACATCTAATTTTATTCATGATAATCTATTCAATCAATTCAACTATTGTTTAGCATCCTAATTTTGAAAAATTAGTGTTAGTTGAATTCACCTATAAGAACTAACAAAAATTAGAAGACAATTGGACAACCCCAAAGATAATCTTAAAAGGAGGATCTGAAAAAAGTTAGACGAAGATAAGGATGAGAAGGATCAAAAGTTGCTAATTAAATTTTCTAATGATAACATTGAGGTAAGAGAAAGCTTTCCAAGAAATCCATGAAAAGGATCCCTCAAAGATTTTTCATATAAATCTTGGTAGGTGATAAATACTTATAACATTTTTTTTAAAGTCCCTTGAAACTTTGTTTTCGTTTCAGCTATTTCCTAAGGTCACTCTATCCAAACATTCCACAACACATTAACACACCATCTAACATAAGGTTCTTAAAATAAGCACATAGCTTTCCCTAAGCCGATCGAATCAAATGATCACACCAAAATGTAAACACAATATATGACAATATAACAAACATCCTTGTATGTATGTCTAGAAATCCTTAAATCACATTCTTAAACACTAAACATCACTCGAGGAAACGAAATGTTTCACTACTTGAATGAATTTTGTAGCCTTTGATTCATCACCATATTCAACCCCATGACACCCTTCTTCCTCAAAATCACTATCTACTTCCACACCCTTCTCTTTCAACATCTCCACCAACTCTTTTTCACGATCAATCAACGGATCCCCACCGTTCCCACTCACCAACACCCTCCACCCTAGATCCCTCACTCTCCCCAATTTTCCAACCCACTTCTCAGCCCTCGGATTCGCATACTCGTGATCACGGTCAACGCCAACGGGCAGCGCCAACTCCCAAAGCAAATCTGCTACGCTCAACGGCAAAACCCCGTCGTTCTCTAACCTCACCTCGGACCCACACCTCTGAACCCCACCAAAAAACACCTGCCGCAATATGAGCCCTTGGATCTTCAACGGCTCAAGATCACGCAACGTGTCGGCCACACGTAGGCCCGCGAAGTAGGCGATTGTTGCTCCCGCACTGTTCCCCATGATATAACAGTTACCTAAGTCGGCGTGTTTCGTCAGCCACTCTTCCTGGCTGTTTCTGACAAACTCCAAGGCTTCCACTGCGTCGTCGTAAGCCGCCGGGAGACGGTGCTCCGGGGCGAGGCGATACTCCACGGAGGCGACGACGGCGGGGACGGCTGCGGACATGGCGGAGCAGAAGTGGTGGAACATGGTGTTGGCGGCGCTGGCCACGACGAAACCGCTTCCGTGGAAGAAAATAATGAGAGGCAGCTTCTGGTGTTCTGCGTTTGAGGATAGTGCCGTTTGGGGCAAGAATAAACGTAGCCAGGTGTTGTTTTGTGGGTTGATGGTTATGTCTTTGGTGAGAAGTGGGAGAGTGGGGTCGGAATTTGGTGGTGTGATTGGAAGGTGACGTGAACGAGTGAGGGTGCCGTTAGGGTTTAGAACGACATCGAGGTGGCGATAGGGATCAATGGATTGCTGCTGTTGATGAGACATGGTGGTGGAAGAAGGCTCCGATGAAGAAGATGAAAGTGTTATGTGTTGCAGTGTGTAGAAAAGCTGTGAAGTGAACCAGCATTTTCTTTATCGCTGATGGGAATCTTATCTTTTAAATTTCAACCATTCATATTCATAAGTCACGAGGAAAGAGAAAAATAGAGACATTACAAGAAAATTCAAATATGGTGATATTCTTAAAAATACTACATAAAATCATTATCATGTTTAATCATAATAAAAATTAGTTTTATTTTCAAAATACATTTTCTGTTAATATTAGAAAGTAACTTTTTGTTGTGGAATTTAAGAATGAAAATCATATTGAAAGAACACTTAAGAGCTTTTTAAATAAAAAATACTTATTGAATTTGAAAGAACAATAATAAAAATAATACAACAAAAATAATTGAAAGAAAACTTGTATTAACAATAGAATCTTCAATATATAAATAAGACAATACATACGACATTAACACATATAGAGTCCCGACGTCTATATATAGAATTTATGAATAACATAAAATTGTTAAAATGTTGCAACAAAATGCCGTTTATAACATAACTTGGACGGTTTAAGTAATTTTTTATATTGTTATATTATCTACTAGATGGTCCTGTGTTTCTTTATGTTAGATGATGTCATTGTTTAATATTGAGTGTTCTAACATACCGTTTGTTGAACATGATTTAGAGTTAATAATCACAATTGTAATAATTTTTCTCAATATAATCCTAATATAATTTAATTCTAATTCTTCTATATAATGAACTCTAATTTTATTTTCTCTAACAAAATATATTTTAATAAAATATTTATTAGTTAACACGCACATTTATTTAAACAAAAGTTATACTCCTGATTTATGTTTATAAGAAGAAATGAAATATTTAATGGATCTAACATTGTAAGGTCTCTTTACTGATTTGTATAGTTTGTTAATAATTTTCTCATCAATAAGTAATATCAGATGCATTATTCTTTCCTCTAACGAGAGAGAGAACAATCTTCTTTTACGATGAAAGAATAAATGTTATAAAAATGTTATTCAGCATCGTATTATAAATATTAAAATAGTTATATTAATAACAATAATGAAGAGAAAATACCATTTCATTCCTAAATTATTCATTGAAAACTCCGATCATAATTGTAAAAGACAAAACTTATCTATCAGAGCAAAATTACTAAGATGCTTAAGCGATCTCAACAAAGGGAATAATGTTTTTTCATGAATATTAAGTAAAATTAAAAAATAGTTCTTGGTCAAAATTTTATACAATTTGGATTTCTGTATTTTTTAAAAGTGACTATTTTGGTTTTATTTAGTACAATGTGTTAAAGTTTATAATTAGGTAGAAAATGGCAATGTGGTTGGGCCAATCCATTCCTTTTCCTACACCTCCATATTCACTGTCTGCACCTTAGGTATTTTACATTTTTATTTTTTTTATTTAATCGTGAAAAGCTGGATTAGGCCAATGTAAGGATTTTATTTTATAAAAAAGTAAATAATACGTGGGATATCATTTGTCATATAAAATAAACTTTAAAACCATTGAAAAAAAAATGAAGAATAAAAACTAATGATTTTAAAAAATATAAAATCAAATGGTATAAAAAATTTCCATCATAAACTAATTTTAATTTCATAAGAAAACATATATTTCTCATCTTTTTATTATAGTAGAACGTTATTAAACAGAACATAACATAGTAAATTGTGTTTGGTACACAAGAACATGATAACTTAGTCCTAAACACAGATTGGGTTAATGAAATGTTTACCAAATCAATGACTGGTTTCCTTTCAATGGGTCAAAGAGTTCAACTCCATGGCAGCCTTCTTCTTGAAAATCCTTCACCACTTTCACCCCTTTTTCTTCCATCAATTGCACCAACTCCTTATCACGATCCACCAATGGGTCACCATTGTTGCCACTCACGAGCACTCTCCAACCAACTCCTTCATCTTCTTCAAATTCTCAACCGCATTTCCAGCCTTTTACAGTTGCAATATTCATGGTCACGATCAGCACCAGTTTGGCAGAGCCAACTGCCCACATCGAATCCGAAACACTCAGGGAATGATTGGGTTATTCTGAAGCCTTAACTCCGACCCTCTGTCCTCTGCACTCCACCGAAGAAATGGTTGACGCAAAATCAACCCTTGGATCTCACTCTCAAGCATCATTCACCTCTTCAACTGCAACGCAGACCTGCAAAAGTAATCTTCCAATATTAATGTTCACAATGCCCCTTGAATATTTATGGATATTTCTTTCTGTCAACTTTTTGACTCGTTAAGTTGATTGTAATAATTACTCTTTGAAAACTATTTAATGTAGGGAAATTAATAAAGCCTTGTCTTGTATCAGACGTTTAACGTGTTGATCAGAAATGTTTTGGTCATAACAAAAAGTTATTACTTTTTATATATAAAAGATAATAAATTTTATTTTAATAAAGGGAAATAGAAATAATGAAATTATAAAGAAATTACAAACAAGACAGAAGTAGAAGGAGAGTGACCTGTCTGGGTAAGCGATAGTTGCCCCCAGCGCATTCCCCATAAGATAACAGTTCGAATAATCAGAGTTTGACGAACCACTCATCTTCGCAGTTTCCGATCCACCGCAGTGCTTCGGCGCCATCGTCGTAGGCCGCCGGAAGTCGGTGCTCTGGCGCAAGACGGTAGTCGACGGAGGCCACAATGGCCTGAGCGGAATCGGCGATATGGACGCAGAAATCATGGAAGACGGAGGAAGCTGCACTGAGCAGCACGAATCCGCTTCCTTGAAAGAAAAGGATGAGAGAAGCTTGTTGGGATTGGAAGAAGAGAGTAGTGTGCGTGGCAGGAATAAGCGCAGCCATGTGTGGTTGTGTGGGTTGATGGCGATGTCTTTGGTGAGAACTGAAATGGGAAGAGAGGGGTCTGAAGAGGGTGCGGTGTGTGGAATGGTGACACCGTTGAGGCGCGTGAAGGTGCCGTCGGGGTTGGGCTGGATTTGGAGGCGTTGATAGGGGTCAATGGTTTCGTTGGAGATGGTGAAGGTGCCGTCGGGGTTCGGGCGGATTTGGAGGCGGGGGTCAATGGTTTCTTTGGACATGGTGGAGGAAATGGAGAAACTTTTGTTGTTTTATTTGCTATTGTAGTGATTTGCACGGAGTCCTTTTATACTGTAAAAACTAAGAACTAACTTAATTATTGAGTTTTTAATATCCGTGTGTGACCACAGATCAAACCATCTTAATGCATTGCGACATATATTAAATATGTGTTTGGTTTGCACAAATTTTATTATTTAAAGTAATGAGTATAGAAGGGATTACGTATTCAATCATTATTTATAATCATGACACTCTCAGTTATTCTGGAAAAAAGGAAGCCATTGAATTCGAAAATTTATTACTTTTTTTTTTTTTATTATTGAAGTTGTATTGTAGTGTTCAAATTTTGAAGGAAATTATCATTTTTATAGAATGTGTTTTGATTCACTGTTTTCATGTTTCTATATGTGCATTGGGTTGGACATCTTTAAAGCTACAGTTTTTGTTATACTTATGGAATTTTTTTTCCTTTATATATTTTATGTAACTTTAAAAATTTTCAGAATTTTTTTTAAAAGATAACCTTTTTAATTTTAAATTTTTTGTAAAAATTTATGCAAACAATTTTATTAAATGTAAATTTTTAATAGTGGGAATCATAACATTTTAATTTTATTTTATAGAATTATGAAGGGTTGTTTCTGACTTTTTGTGCGTTAGTACTCTGATTTTGAGTTTTCTTTAGACAAATTGTGATCAATCTCATGGTTGAAGAAAAAAACATAGTTTTGCACGTAATGTATTTGCATTATTGTGTTTATTTATTCTCAAAGTGACTTGTTCTAAATTTGTTTTAATGTATACCTGTATAATTGTGTTTTTCTTCTGTTTGACCAAATTTGTTGAAGTTTGAAAGTATATAAAGTGTGACTCTTGATCACTGTGTTGAACATCTATATGTATATGTTGTGATGGAGTGAATCACTAAATTTTTTATGTATTTCTCTTTCTTTATATTGCATAAGGTATATTGTAATCTCGATATTTATTGATTTGATTTTAAATCTACATCTAATCTATTCATGATAATCTTATTCAATCAATTCAATATTGTTTATCATCCAATTTTGAAAAATAGCAATTAGTTCAATTCAATTAGTGGTTGGACAACCAGAGAATAAGTCTGAGATAGGACGCAAAGGGGATTTCAAAGGAGTTAGATGAAGAAAAGGATGAGAAGAATCTAATTGTTAATTAATAATCTTCTAAGTGCTAATTACATTTACTCCAATAATAACACTGAGATAGGAGAAAGCTTCCGAGGGAATGCATGAAAAGAATCCACTAAAGATTTTTCAAAAATCTTGTGTAGGTGTTTAATATTTTGATTTACTTGAACATATTATAGAAATCTGATTTTTTTTTTATAGAGGAAGAATTGAAATAAATGGGGTAGAAAAGCTTTTTGAAGGTGAGGCCAAGCTCCTTGTGGGACAATTTTTGCGTTAAAAAAGTCAAACTTAGAACTTTTTTATATTAAGAATTTTGAGCTCGACGGAGAATTTGGAAGTGTGTGACCTTTGTTTTGAAGAAAAGAAACAAGCTTCTCAAGTGTGTGAGTGAAAAAACAAGAAGGATTTATTTTGCTTCCAGGTGACCTCAATTAGTTTCTTCTCATTTTGTATCATTTATTCTCTCTTCACATCAGACTAGCTAAATCATTCTTTTGTTAGATATAACTAGACTATACTTGGAATTTTTTGTTGTAATATATATAATATATAGATATTTATAGATATATTATAATATATATATAATATATATATATATTTATATATATTATTGTGCTTCAAATAACATTTTAGTTTTATGTTTCGTGTTGGTTATGGATACCACTTAGATTTTTAAGGATTTTGTTTGTGATTGAAAAATATTTTGATTATCTTAACTTGAAGTGAGACATCCAATGAATAATGTATTTAAGAATGGTTCATGGTATATTGGTTATCTTTTAATTACTAAACTTATAGCAAATTGTTTTGCTAAGGAACAAAAGGAATTGAAGCTTATTAAAGGAATTTAGATTGATTTCATCTATAGAATTATGGTTAAGGAATGTAGATTGATTTCATTTATAAAATTAGGGTTTTGGATAAATTTAATAATTTATCGTAATGTTATAAAATCAATGTATTCAATTATCACTTTGTAAAATAAGTTTTCAATCCAATGCTAAGTTTTATTCCTTTTGCATAAACTCAACTTATTAATTTACTTATTTTAATATTTCAATAAAAAGATATGTTTTAGTGACTAAAAAAAGGGTCGTTAAAAAGATGAAAACAATCATAAACACTTTTAGCGATTGAATTAACAATAAAAAATATTTGGTAGCGAAAATCTAACTTAGTTTTTTACGATAGCATTAGAAAACTATAAACACTTGAAATTACTAAAAAATACTAAAATGGAAGTTGAATAGTGTTTTGAAAAACTTTTTCGCAAATAGATATTTAACAAGACGGTTAAACGATCTAAGCAAGTTGTTAGACACTTGACCTATAATTCACGTTAAACCAGAACATTTAGGAATAAAGTAGAGTAGAAATGCATGTTGTCAAATATGTCATTTTTCTTGTTACTTTTGTTTTTGAAATGTTGTGCATTTAATGTTTTGTATTGCGTGTTCAAAACAACTTCATCAATTTCTTAATACATGTAGATCGTTTAAGCACTTCTGAAAAGATACCATGTATTGATCCATAAGAGTTTCATACTTGGATGAGAATAAGGTTTTCTGTCATGGTATCGTTTAGCCTTTCAAAGATGTTTACTTAACAACGCTTTGTTTAGATATTTGGGTTTGGTACGAGAGCACGTTTAGGGAAAATGTTATTCAACATATTGTTTTCATAGCGTTGTTTAACTCTTTAACATGTTTGCCAAAAACATTATATATAGGGATGACAATTTTACCTGCGGGCACGGGTATCTGCAGGTAAAATCCGCGGCGGATAGTAACTATCCGCGGATATTTACTACTTGTGGGTAACGGGTACCGGGTATTTTAATACCCGCTTCTAAACGGGTCGGGTACGGGTAGTATACTACCTGCCCCGCGGGTATCCGTTACCCGCAAAATTAAAAAGAAATAATTTATATATTTTTTAATTAAATTTAATTAAAAATAAAATAAAATTATATTTTATTAGTTTAAATTTAATTAAAATTAAATTTTAATTTACATTTATATTATATATATATATATATATATATATTTGTATTTTTATTTAAATTTTATTTTTAAAATGTATTAATTTTTTTTTGCGGGTATCCGCGAGTATTTTTTAAACGGGTACCCGACGGATAGTTGGTCGGGTAGCGGGTACGACTTTATCCGGTGGGTTGGGTTGCGGGTAAGCACTACCCGTGCCCGACCCGACCCGTTGCCATCCCTAATTATATAGCACATTTTTGCATTATTTAGTAATATGTAATAGGAGCGCATTTAGAAAGAATATCACGTATTACATTGATGTGTTTGACAAAATATTGTTTAATGATGCGTCTACTGTTATAATAGCACATTTACTCAAATATAATTTTTAAATAAATGTAATATTGAAATTTTTATTAATATTTATATTTTTACTTAAATATTTATTTAATTATTTTTAAATCCACTTTAACTATATTATTGAAATATAAATATTAAATTTATGTTTAATGTTTCCTATAGGTAGAAAATAGAATTAGACTTGGTTTAAAAATAATGAAAATTTTTCTTTCTTTAAAAACATTGAATAATTTTCTTTTAATTTTAAACCAACTTTAATCTTATGTATAGCAAAAATCAAATATAAATATAATAATTTCTTTCCAATAATACACTTAGAATTGGTTTAAAAATAATGTAAAAAAATATTTAATGAAAATGTAAATTTAATAAAAAAATTAGCATAACATTTATATAAGGGTTAAATATGTTTTTCGTCCTTTAAGTATCACTGATTTTTGGTTTTAGTCCCTACTCAAAACATTGATGACATTTAGTCTTCGTAGTATTAAAACATGTAAAAATAGTCCTTAAAAGTGGACGACGTCAACTTTTAGTTGATCTGGCAAACGTCAGTGTTACGTCTCCTGCCAGCTTCACTGTTCTCTATCTGCCACGTTGCTTATATCGTGAAAACCCCTATGGCCATCTTCCTGCGAGAGAAATGTCTAACTCATGGTCCGAGAGGCAGCGACTGGGTGCGGCATGAATGGCTTGGATGCGCTGTAGAGGGTGAATGCGTCTTCCTCTCGCGCGAAGCAGAAGGGGCAAAGTGGTGGTGGTCCACCATGAAGGGCGGTGGCTTTTTTGGTGCAAGTACCGGCAACACCGTGGACAACAGCGTGGTGGCTGTTCGAGTGGTGGCTAAGGCGGCAACGTCCATGCAGTGGCGACCCGTATCTCCAGCAGCACCTCCAATCGAGCTCGAACGACGTCATGTGTTGGTGACTTGATCTGACAGATAGAGAACAATGAAGCTGGCAGAGGTCGTGGCATTACCGTTTGCCAGATCAACCAAAAGTTGACGCCGTCCATTTTTAAAGACTATTTTTACATGTTTTAATACTACGATAACTAAATGTCATCAATGTTTTGAGTAGGGAGTAAAACCAAAAATTAGTGATACTTAAGGGACAAAAAACATATTTAACCCTTTATATAAAAATTTAATTTAATTAATTTAGAAAGTAACAAAATTAAAACTAAATTAAGAAAAACTTAAAAATAATTGAACAAAACAAAATTTAAGACTGAATTCATATAAAATACTTATATGTGAAACTATAACGTTAATATTGGTTTGATATGTGTCACAATCACACTCATAGTCACATGACACAAGAGTGACTTAATATTTGAATAACTTTTTTTAAAATTAAATAAAAAATTACAAAAACTACAAACCATGACACATATTATTCACCTTTTGTTAATGATTTAACCACCAATATAAAAAAAATTAAATCGATAAAAATTAAAAAAAATTGAAAAAAAATAGAACTAAATTGAATAAAATTAAAAAAAAGGACAAGAACTATTTAAGCCAGAAAAAATATCAAGATAAATCTAAAAAAGAATTTCCTTGACAGTCTTTTATTATTGAATTAAGATAGTATCATATTTGTATTCAATATAAATGTTTTCAAATCAGTTGAACTGGTTTTTAACATAAATAACTATCAGACCCAAAAGTAAAATAATTTATGTTTTGCTTCAGCTCAGTTTGAATGACTTCCTAGCATAATACAATGTAATTATATGAATTTTAATGTTCTTATTGATGCGGCAAATAGTAAAATACAACACATCATACTGATAAATAAAACATCATAAAAATTGAAACTATAAAATCTAAATCCGCCATAGTAGTGTGAATATCACTGAAACCAAATATATATATATATATATATATCTTATATATAATATATATATATATATATATAAAGAATTAAGAAAAAAATATGTATATCCAAAATAAAGACAGTATTCATCTGAAAGTCAAGTTTCCTGAAAATTAATGACAGTATTCTATCCAAAATATAGAAATGCAGCAAAAAGAAAAAAATATTGAAAAAGAACATCTAAAATTAAAAAATGCCATTGACTTTTCAACATGTTTCCAATGCAATAATCATTTTCTTTCCGCACCAAATTAATGACGCCACAGAAGATGATGTTCAAGTAGGAAGAAATGTACAATAGAAGATTGAGTTCTGGTCAGGACTCAGTGGATGATGTAGTAATAAAAGTTGCAGAGACCCTGATAACTCTAACTTACTTTCAAAAATTTCCTCACAGAAGGACAAAATCTCATGCAATCGGTTGGGAAAAATTGGACAAGAATCACATCCCTATAATAATTAAGGTCATACACACCAGCCTTGAAAGATCATACTTTTGTGATCTGGGTCAAGAATCTAAAACTTTATAACCATTGTAAGATTTTTAAAGTGCACATGATAGCACAGTACACTCTAACCCACCTGTTGCCGCCCCCTCCGCATTAGTCCACAAATAAATGAAAAAAAAAAAACTTGCTGGCCCTAGTAAGATAGGAGAGCATACAATCCCAAATCGAATAGATACTCTTCTATATAACCATCTAAATAAATACACTGATTTCCTTTCTCTCCCAAGGTAATTATTACCTTACCCAAAACTACACACTAACTAGAACCAAGCAATTCCTCATTATGGGAGGTATAACCCAGGAAGATTGACCTACCATTTTCACCAACCCATGCCGCAATGATATTTATCTATAGTTTGTTTCATTGCATCCAATGTGAACTAATAAATCCAACCTTTTTGGGACAATCTCATGGCTATTCTTGGGACCATAGTCACATTTCTCAAATGGCCGATATTCACAAGCACTTTTGATTTCGTCACGCAATGCCACCTGAATGTCCTGAAACATTTGAAAATAATAGTTAAAGCACAAGTTTGAGCATAAAATTCATGATGAACTCGAACAAAACAGAGTCAGTTGATCATAAGTTCACTGCTTTGCTTTGAAAAATCCACTGCATTTTCATTATTTAATTAAGGATAAGTAAACTTTTCATATATATACAGATTTCACACTCAAGTAATTTAACAAATACTATACAAAGCAAACGAAACTATTTCTTGACAATTTATATTATAAAAGAAATTCCATTTACAAGTACCAATTACCAATATATATGCACTTGTGCACTTATTAGTTGAGATTTAAATTATATATATCTCAGCAAAAATAGGAATTCATTTCATATCTACAATTTGGGTTCATTGAGTTTTATGTTTAGTTTACTTGTCATAGCTTAGTATTGTTGAGTAACCTGACTATATGTAATTTGTCTCGAACAATTCAGCCCTTAATTTTAAATATGAATAAGAATATTTTGAATATATCAAACTATAATTGTTGCTAACACACAAAGACCAAAATTTGTAGAGGAACGTGTTATAGGCTGTAATAACAAGAACACTGGTAGATTTTAGCCTCACGATTTTTGGAGCTTGAAGACTACTTTAAGTTGAAGTTAAAAATAAAAGCTTTTAGTTTAAATATAATGTTGCTAGGTAATCACTAATTCTATCTTTTTAAAATAAAAAAGATACTTTTTGAAATTATAATGTCATAAGCATCAAACACTTGGAAACACATCCTTAAAAACTAGCTATTATGGGGGAGAACCAAATATTCAAAGACTCCACCCAGCATACCATATTACTCTCTATGTGAAACTTAAGGCCCTCATAATACACAAAGCTCCTGTCATAATGTCGTTGACACATGTTTAGAATGTCTTATTAAAACATTTATGTATAGCAAACCAAAAACGTTCAAATTCCAGTTCACAGAAATCCTGGCTTGCAAGTAATATCGGTGGTACTATGGGACTGGGTTTCGGTTAATTAAGGGAGTAGTCAGAGTTGTTTTAGTAAGAAGCGTACGTTTCTAATAAGTTTGGCAAATATAGGATATTAACATATAGGGAGAGGAAGATTTGGGGTATGTTCTATCTCAAGTTCTAGAAATGTAGAGAGTAACAACTTATATTCATTTTTCTCTCCTAGTAGAGTTCACATCCGTAATACAGGGCTAATGGAGATATTATCAACAAAAAAATATCTTTTCCTTAATTTTTTTCACTAAATTCAATCATTAATTAGACTGATGCCATTTTGGTAGTGTGCTCATTTTGGGACTTGAACCCATAAGAGCCAACCCCTTTAGTATGTGACGAAGGTTGTGTTATATATCCACAAAAATCATAGAGAAAAACGCGAGGCGTACATATAGTAGCTTCTGCTGTGATGACGAGGAACGACGCATCCATGAACACGCATCCAAACACACCGGTGTTAAATACATGTAATAGCACCAAAAAGTAATTGATTTCTGTGAGACAAGGACCTTGATTAATTGCATGAACTCAAGGCAGTGATTTTGGACCACATCTTTCCTAGGACCAACAGGGCTTGCAAGCTCATCCATTACTCCTCCGGCAAGCTCTAAAACCTTCACGATTCTCTACAATGACCAGCAGAAAAGGGGGGAAAAATCAATTAAAACAAACTATAATGTCCTGTGACATTCAGGACCCTTTTGTAAACGTTTTCAAAATTTACCTTTTCTACATTCTGAAGTCTCTGCAAAGAAGTTGTCTGGCCCTGTGAATCCATGGATGCGGACTCCTAGTGTTCCTTCTCTAATTCAGGTCTATACAATAAATTAATGTGGAGAACAAAATGATCCATAAGAGACTTCAAAAGCATCAAATGCACAATTAACAATTTCATAATCACATAAAGTGACAACTATAACAAGTGTCGGATTGGGATGCATCAGAATGTAAGGATTTATTAGTCAATAGAATGGTCAAAATGGCCATCTTGAATATCATAAAATACCAATTGATAAATAGTAAAATGAAAGAGAAAAAAATTGTTTCTTCTTTAACATTTTCTGTGACTCGGACATCTTGTTTATCTCTCTCATGAAGTTCACAGGTCACGGCTAGAGCATTGTGCCTCTATCTCTATCAGTTAGAATATTTCCTTCTCATCTTGTAGGAAGCAAATCTACTTCCAACAAACCATGAGCATGGGCTTTACACTCATTTACTACACCATTTATATATGTTCTACTTGGATTAACCCTTGAATGCCAAGAATCTTACAGTCAATTTCAGAAATCACTTTAGGGAACAATAATCCTTTGCTGTTTGGATAGCCCATCTAAAGCTAAGAGCTTCTGCAACTGCTTTTCACGACAGTAGATGAGATGAGATGTAGGCACGTAGCAGATGCCAAAATCTGGCCAGCACAGTCGCTAAACACCACCCCTTAACCAGCACCTCTGTTAGTGACAACGGAAGCATCAATATTAGCCTTGAAATGTTCTCGGACTAGAGGCTTCCATGAGTCATTTATTCATCTCCTGCTTTGTGGATATTAACTATAGATGTATATATGGTTTCGTAGAAAAATTCTAATTACTCCCTTTTTCATGAAACCCAACTCTTTCATTCTAAATAGTAGAGTAAATAATACTCTTCTATGGCTTCGAACATTTCAAAATTGGTCAACCCTGTACCATTACATTCTACATACCTAAATTTCTATTAAGTATTTCATCAAACAGGTTCTTGGCACTCTAGCAGTTGTCCATTTCAATGGGTGGGGCTATGAGGAGAACAAATCGATCCCACTCAACATGACTTAATCGAACCGTTTTTCTTTTGTTTTGAACTTATTATTGTTCTAGTACTGTTATTCTAAAATAATACTAATGAATAGACAGCTTCTGGTTGAATGCGTCTAACAACTCATTTAGGGTTCCGTCAACAAAGTGTTTTTCACAGAATACACTCTGAAACTGGTTACAGACTAAATCAGATCAGGTTTTCGAACCCATAACCAATTTTCACGGTAAATCACTAACCCAGAACCAATTCAGAACACCCTTCTGAGATTTACATATACGATTATGTAAGGAAACATAAGAAAAATACAAGCAAAGGAAGGAAGAAAGGAAATCAAATTGATCACTGACAGTGTAAGATGAGACTTTGCTGCCGTGAACAGAAGGACGCTGAAATCAACTGTGCTGGTTGAAATAGAGTTTTCTCGGAAACAAGGAAAAAGTTGTTCAATGCCTGCAGAGGAAGGAAAAGAAGAAAGAATGGAATTGAGAGAATGTCTTTTCAAGCCAACTAAATAGATGCAATGCAATAAACTTTAATTTTAATTAACTTTCAAATTTCATTACTTTTATAAATAAATACCTTAAAGTTCAATTCCATCTAATTGGTCCTTAAAATTATTCTTTTTTTTTAAATATTTTTATATTAAGTTAAATCAAGTTGATTATCTTAATTGTGAATCATTTATTGTTTTTTTTTTTAATTTTTCATAAATTATTTTCTTCTTACATTAAAATAGTATATAGTACAACTAGGATTTAGGAGAAAAATAACAATTAAAATTATTTATTTTTCTTTATAATTTGACTCTTATAATTAATCATTTACATTAGGTTGTCCTATTTTTTAAATTTAGAGTAACTTAATTATATATATATAAGTTATTTTTAAGTAAGTGTTTTCTTAAAATTTTCATTTAAAAAAAAAGTATATTTTAAAAAACAATTAGTCAATAGATTAAGGTTTTGGTTCAATTTTTTCCTTATGTGAATTTTGTAATATTATGAGTTGAACTGAATTAACATATCTCATTCACTTCTTCTTTATATATATATATATATATATATATATATATATATATATCAAACAATTTTAGATTTAGTTTCTTTTTCAAATTTTGGTATATTTTGATTATTATCTTTAAAGAAAACTATAAATTTTTGTCTTCAAAATCCAACATCGTAGAACTGGTTAAAAATGATATCAAAGTGTACCGATGTTAGACCGCTCAACCTATTTTTAATAGTTTTGAAAAATAAAAAATAAAAATTTATAGTTTCTTGAGAGACAAAGATCAAAATATACTAAAGTTTGAAAAAAAATTAAATCTAAAATATTTTTATAATTGAGAAATAAAAGCATATTCAACCCTAAAATTATATTATGATTTGATATATGTAAGACACATGTCACACTTGATAAAAAAAATATCCATATACATACTTCATTTTTATTTTAATGATTTATTTATATGTTGCAGTGGTTTTGGTGGAGCCGTCAGTAATTTTTGATATTTATAAGTATGGGATACTGCTGCTAGTTCATTAGGGAAGAATAATATCAAAAACTGAAGCCTATTATACAAGTGAGATGTATACTTCTGGCATAATTCTGAAAATCTTTGAAGTTATAACATAACACATTTTCTCATTAACGTATTTTAAATTTAATAAAGAATATATATGGGTAATGTATCAAAATATTATAAAATATTATGTTAATATATCATTATTTTGAAATAAAAAACTACACCACGATTATGAAAAGTTAAAATTTCATAAATACAAGAAAAGAAAAAAATGGTTCCCAATGAATAATAATAAGGTCTATGGTGTCAAGTGGTGGATGAAAAACAAAGCAGTAGTTAAAAACATCTTTGGAATTTATGTTTCGTCATATAATTGTCTTAAAAATATTAATGAAAGAAAAAAATATTTAAACTATTTTTTACTTCGATTTTTAAATGATACGAAACATACAAAATATTAAAATCCTATATCTTAAATTTTAAACCCTAGACTATTAAACGTGATAAGAATTTTCATGTCTGGCATACATGTTACACAATATTAGATATCAGTCGGGTTCAACAAATCTCGTTGGTATAATCTTTTACTTTGTTAAGTAAATTTCTTCCTTCATCTGTTTCATTCTTCAAGGATTATATGAAGATTTTGATCAATAAGTAGTAAAAAACATCAGAGACAGCTCAAACTGATGATGTCATGAAAAAAATTGTGATAATATGCAAATAACAGGAATAATATTTGCTTTTTAAGGAAGTTTCTATTATATTGCAGACACAACATTTTTGCCTACCATCCTTCCTCAACAACAAAGGAATAAACAAATAGATCTGCGACAAGTCTGATAAACAAGTAGCTTATTACATTATTGCAACCCATCTTTAGCTGTAAGAGAGCATCTGGGACAGAAAGGAAGACATAAAACAAGCAAAAGCTGGATCTTATGCAAAAATCTCTAACTATAAGGATCAATTTAATTCCTTGTGACACCAACTCTGGTCCTTGGAGAGTTTCGAAGCAAGTACTTCACAACTTTGCTTATTTGTCCATCAAAAAGTTCTATCAATTTGCTTTTCACTCTCAATGATTCCAATCTAACAAAGCAGGGTGGTTGAAGTCTTGTTGAACCATCAGAGAGATCCTGCACAGTTAGAGCAAATTGGATACATGCATGACTCAGTACTGCAATCTCTTTTTTCTCTTCATATGAATGCAGACATGTTTTGAGCATAAAAAATATGAGGAGCAAAACAAAATGAATGCTAAAAGAACTTACAACTAGTATTGCTTGAAGGGTAAATGAACCGAGAGTCAATATCCTTGCATTGGCCAGTGCTTGCATCAGTTTTACGATGATTGAACTTTTCACCATAAACAAGCCAATACTCACGGCTCCAAGAAGAGGTAGATTGCACACAGAAGAGAGATGGTGATTATTAACACCCTTGATGGTGAAAGAACGAAGATTCGGAGTAGAAAGTGCAATGTTGTAAGCTTTTTTTTCAGCAAATATATTGTAACTGTATATCTTGATGCTGAAAAGGGTATTATTAGATATGCAGAGAGCTTGTGAATCATTTTGCATAGAGCAGTTTCGAAGGTACAAAGTTTCTAACACGCGACAGTTTGAAAAAGGCTCAACATACTCAGCATCGGCAGTAGTTGCAGTAAACTTAACACGTTCAAGATGCAGACTTTTTAGAAAGGGCAAGTGCAAAGAGTCTGGAATCACCATCACATTTGGATCATAAACATTGCAAATCTTGAGGGATGTCAAAGACTTACAAGAAAAGATGAAAGGGAGGGAACGAAATGCAGGTTTGCATGTTAAATCTATACGCATTGTCAAACGCTGCACATCATGAACCATAGCATATTTCATGATCAAGTCTAGAACTTCAGACTCAGTTGGACTTATAACTACAAGATTTAGCAGGGAATGAGAATGATCTCTGCTAGACAAAACCCATGACACAAATTTTCTGAAACAAATGTCCCCAGTGTATCTGGCACAGAATGTGAGACTGGTGAGACATTTGCAGAGATTCTTCCATCTTTTAGACAGAACACAAGTTTGAATAGCAGCTTTTGTGCTCATAAAACTCATTATGTGGAGCAAAACACAATCAGGCAATTCACTGATTCTGTCCTTCTCATCTTTTCTGCATCTTCTCTTCTGTCTCTTTCTTTTCATAACCAACTCTCCCTCAATTTGTTTACGTTTTGGAGCCATCACTTTCTACTTTTTCAGTTCTACACTGTGGTAGCAGAAAGTGATAGTTAAAGGGTAAAACGAGTTTGTGAAGAACAAGAAAATATTACTTGTCTTTTATAAGCAACAGTTTGTAGAATATTGCATCAGACAATACAAAAGTTTGAACCATCGTACTGCATTAAAATCTTGATCATATTAGGAAGGTGAAATTGTTAATTTTTCATTAATTTATATTTTACTTAATACGTGACTGTGTTATTAAATTTTATGCCTATATTATTTATTGTAATCTACTATTTGTTTTTAAGATTAATGGCAATGTATATTATGAGTGTAAAGACATTGACATCAGTAATTGTTGGTATGATTTTGAATATATTTATTACTATATCGGAAAAATTGTGATTAGATTACAGTGTATGCAAATATTAATCGATCCGCGTTTGAACAATATTTTGTCTGATACTATGGAAGAATATTTTTTAATTTAATTACTTAACATATTTGATAGAATTTTACTTATATAATTTCATACATTTATTAATTTATAATACAATGAAAATTATATATTAATTTTATTCAATAACAATAAATGATGCAAATGTTAATATTTAGTCAGAAGTGTCAAGTTACTTTATGTGTATGTTATCAATACAGAAAGATATAAACAGTGAGGTCTTTCCGTAAATAAATAAAAGGCATGGAGAGATATTTAATAATAAAATTTAATAAAGATCATATACCACTGTAAAATTTATTGATAGATATGTATATAAATGTATGAATATATAACATAATGTGTAATTGATTACAATAGAATGAGAGAAAAATATTAATAACTCATAATATATAAAAGAAAATGCTAGAGAAAAGTTCATTAGATCCTATATGTTTTGATTCAATGTTATTTAATTATAAAATAGATTATGTGAGACGAAATGAGTTTTGTGTATAGAGATATGTTTGCACTATGTTTTAGTAAGCAAAATTTACATTAGAATATATGTATCCATGTTGTACCACGATGATATTTTGAAAGAGGTGATAAAATTGTTTCAAGTCAATACAAATTCTAAAGTGATCAATGATAATTATGAAACGACTCTCTATCTCGTATAGTTCTACATTTTTCCTTCAATTTGAATAAAACCTCTTTGACCAAAGTCTAATAGGTCACTCCAAATATCAAAATGTTGCTTGAAAGGGAGATTAACATTTACTATTAGGTACATGTAATCCTAAATTCACAAGTGAATGAACTATATAGTAAAATAAAGATTTAAGTTAAAACACTAGAATAGAGCATAAAAGGATTCACAACGACTTTTATCTCAATGAAATTTTTAAAAGTTGAAGAAAAGAACACCAAGAAGAAATAATAGGTTAAAAAAAGTGATTATGTTTCAAACAATATTCAATTTTTTTAGTTTTTTTTAGTTAAAACGTAATATGTTCCAAATAATATTCAATGTCTTAATTAGAAGTACTTCTTTTCTAAAGAATACTTAGTGTCCTTGCTAAAAATGATTGTATTCTAAATATTATTTAATATCTTAACAAATAGTGATAATCGTTCAAACAATGTTTGGATTTTTAACAAAAAATGAATGCATATTCAAATAATATTTGAATTGCTTTAGTTAAAAGTCATTGAAATCTAACTAATACACATTTATATCATCGCAACATTGGTTTGTTTGCCTGGTGAAATTTGATCACGTTGATTAAAAACTAGATGTAGTATGCTGATTATAGACAAACTAGTATA